ACACACTGACATATATCATGTTATAAGTTATAGGAGTAAAAATCTTTTTCATAAAACAATTTCTGGGTTCTTAAGCTAAAAACAGAAGAAGAATTAGCGGGAGCGGTGGTGGTGAAGGAGGAGCCGTTGGTTTGGCAGAATTTCTGAATTAATTTTGCTCATTAAAGCTGAAACACACAGAGCTAATGTAGTTAATAGATGGACAGGAGGAACACCCAGCTCTCAACAGATGACCCCACCTCCACCACACACACACACTGCTGTATCATTTTGCCATGTTGAGGTCATGAAACGTGGTTTTCCAATTCTGTTTCCCCTTCTGCTTGTCTTTCAATCACCCAGCGCACACACAGAGACACACACACACAAACCGTGGGCCCACTCTTAATGCACCCAATTACTTAAGCCCCCCATTCCTCTGGCTGCTGCATTACGTCAGGCTTGGCAGCTATATTTTTAGCTGGTTGATGCCATTGGCCCACTCTACCTCTCCGTGTGGATTGAGTTACCACGTTTTTCCTGCAAGAGTCCAATAGAAGCCTCCCTTAGCTGCCTTCATCCAATCACAACACATCGAACCACTGCATAATGACACGGGTAGGGCCCGGAGGGAGGGCCGTGGGCAGCAATAAGGATCCTGAGACTCAGAGACCGAAAGCAGTTTGTTGTTACCAAGACCCGCCAGGTTGTATATCCATATACTGCCACAGACTGTGTTGGGGTAATGTATGCTGAGTATGAAGATATCTCTATAGAACCTAGTCTGTGGCGAAGACACGAATGCCAAATGTAAATGCTAACTGCTCCTCGTGGCTCCCAGACGCCAGAAATTACAAGGTTGTTGGAGGGGAAAAAACGAAGCAGAGTTATGAAAATACATTTAGGATTATTTTAAGTTTCCTCTCCTTACTCCCTCTCATTATTTCTTCCTTTAATAGCTGCAGGAGTTACGCTGATGGTAGCAATGAAGTTGTGTTGTGCACAGCTGAGGCATCGGAGGGGAGCAGTGACAGCTTGACCCCATGCTGCTAGAGAAACTTGCACAGGGACTCGGAAAAGCTTGGAATGTTTTCATTCAAGCTCCAAGTGTTTCGCTGTTGGTGTCAACAGGATTATACCCAACAACTGGACAAACAACCAGCAACCCTCGCCAGGATAAGTGGCAGCGCTTTCCCAGTGACATCAGTATTCAGATGCTGATGTCCTCCGGTCCTCTTAGACGTGTGCTCCCCATCTTAAACATTATCATAATCTCTTCCTCATTGCGGTTTGCTTTGCTCACATCACGGCGGTTCTTGTTTCCTCGGTCTAAGCAGCCACTCTGGTGTTGTACTCAGTCACCCACTAATCCTATTTATTTAGTCCTCACACAAGGTCAGCAGGAGTGTCAATACTGCATATACGTGCCCCCATTCAGTGGAAAGGTCAGGAAAAACAACAGCAAGCACTTGAAAACCGGAGGCTGCTCAGGGTGTTTGGTATCATGGCAACAAGACGCTTAAATGATGAGGGAAACATTTTCTTTCATAAAAAAAGTGAGTGAAGCACATCACAATTGTTGATTTGTGGTGGAAAACCCAAACTAATACTGATGAGTCTGTGGTGCTTTCCTCTAATGTCCTACAGGAGTCGCACCATCTAATGGTCTTAGCTAAAGTAGAAGAGCTTTATGTCTAGTTTATACTTGTCCATCTGTGGAGGTGTGGAGACTCTCAGCACCATTCAAGGGCTGTCCTATTGGACAGACGTAGAGCCCAATTTTTAACAATCTGTCAAACGCACAGCAGAGAGCACATCTGTGATGGTCGACCCAACAACAGCCCAAGATTATTTCCACCTTAACGACACTTCCTTTAAATTTGCCAAGAGCTCCGTCGCTCTCGATGATTTCTTTCCAACAAAAGGCTTTCTTCCTTGAGTTTAAGCTGATCCAGCTTAATGAAAACTGTCTTTTTGTCGGCCATTGCTCCTTGAGAGGGATTTGCATTTACAAGCTGAAGTGAATAAACTTTTGACGTCCAGAGACATCAGAGCAATGGTAGACAGACCCACTAGAAAACGTCTATGCCCCCAGCTCTGCCCCACAGAAAATTGCTTTGCAACACTGACATACCAACAGAGAAATATAGACGGAAAACATCTCCATCAGTCACTTGCTGACAGAGAAGTATTAAGTAGGCTTTAGCCTGGCAAGCCATCCTATACACGTAAATATATAGTCTGTTCACGACCCATAGATGGAGCTTGGTCATGGGGCGGAATCTATGGTTGTCTTTCAAACAGTCTCTGCATTCAGTTGGACAGTGCTAGGACCAATCAGAGCAGCAAACAAGTGACATATTCATTTCCATGGAAATCAGCCATACCCCATTGAATAAAAGGCAGTAAATTCATCCTTTTTCAAAATAAATGGCATTAGTACTTAAATCTGCTAATGTCTCAAAGAAAAAAACAAGTCTAAGTAGTCCACAGTTTAAGCCAAAAGGATTTCAAATGACCATTCTTGAACTGACGCCATCTTTGTAGATTTTTCTCAGTTTCAGCATTGGCGCTTTGCCCGCCTCTCATCTCTCTACAAACATAGAGCTAGGGATGTCCCGGTACATTTTCACTTCCGATACGATATCAATATTGCAGTCTTCAGTATTGACCGATACCGATGTCAGTCCAATACAATGTCAGCACAAATCATACATTCTTTTACCAATTTCGTGGCGTGTAATGTATGAAAGGCTTGATCAAGTGATTTTACTCGGAAACACAAGCCAGCAACAGTAGTTATGCGAAAAATGACCAATGTTTTGTTAACCATTGGTTGCGTGCATGTGAACCTGAAGAATGACTAATACCTAAAAAGCCACAGAAAAATAATATAATTAAATTAATAAACTAAGATATTTCTTTTTAAAGTGCAAAATACAAATTCAAGGTCATTTACTTTTACTGTCATCAAATGGTAGGAACAGCTGAGGGCAGGGACATAAGAAAACAAACAATATTGTTTATTGACCAACTGCTACAAGTTGAGTGTCCATATGGTCGATATCAGACCTATTTTTGATATCAATATTAGAACAGGACATTAAGCACTGTGATTGGCCTGACCTAAAATTGATAGATCTGCTGAGGCTACGTGGCCCGACCGACCTGCAGAGCTAGTTCTTTAGCTACTGCTATGGTTTGTCTAGCTTCCTAGGCTAAAGGTGAGCATATTTAATAAAGGATGGATGACAAAACACTTGTCTGTCTGGAGAACCGTGACTCAGCAGAAGGACTCAATCCAGGAAGTTAGGTGGGCAGAGAAAATGAGACACCACCATGTAAAGTCCATTTTTAGACTTGAGTAATGAGGACGTCTCAGAACTAGTATTACTGAATAAGAGCTACAAGTATGTTTGCTCCATTCTTTCTCCATTTTTACAATGAATCTAAATCCAAGGTATGGTGACCTTTTTGAATTTGATTCTTTAGCTATTTCTATAAACATTTGACCAATATTAATTTGATACAGTCCATTTTAAATGATCTAGAACCTATACTGAAAGGTTAGTAAACAGCTGCTTAATTTTTACTTTCCACTTTGAAGTTCAGACCCAACAACAACCCACGAATGTGCTGCTTTAACAGAAACCAGGTGATCTGCAAAACAGATGCTTTGCTTTCCCTCAAATCCCTGCGGACTTCACCACGGCCTTGAAGTCAGACACATACACCATGAGGCCGCTGGTCTGTCTCCATTGTGTGTCAAGGTCCTACAGAGCTAAAGCCTGGAAGCTACATGGGGTTTTGGGTGCCTGGTGTTGCTTAAAAGGGTCACAGAGTGACTTTGAAACAAAGAGGGAGCTACGAACCTGATATTCCCTCTGTGTCACTCAAACAGCCACGTCTTTCACTCCGACTTCTCCCGTCCAGCTCAGTTTGACTTCACCACTCCTTTTCAAAATGTTATAGGGAATCCCTTGCTCTGTTTTCCCTCCAAATGTGATTACTGCCCCAGAAGGGACATGTTTAATGATTGTTGATCACTATAGTGTGAAGTAGTGATGCACGGGTTAGTTTTTTTTTTCAGATTTGATAACGTCTGACCCGCACCAAACCGCCCCGCATCACCAAGTCTATTTTTACAACCCGCGCCGCCCCGACCCGCCACATTAAAAACGCGTTATTGATTGATTGCGCTTTTATTCAGACAAAGGTGCGATAAACAGTCCCCCAAATTGGCACTGGAAAATGGTAGTAACGTTTACATTTTTAAAGGCTAAAATAAAATAAAAAATAGGCAGATAAAGAAAGTTTAAAATTAAATTAAATAAGGGTTATTTTTGTTTGTTACCCTACTATAAACCAATACAAAAACGGCACCTAGAGCCCCTGCTTGGGCAAACAAAGTAGTAAAACATTTTACAACTTTTATCAAACATTTTGAAAGCAAACAAACACATTACCTGTTATGTCCTTGTTTTGTCCAGCCAATGCTTCTGTTGTTGTCTGCGCTGATTACCTCGCTGAATCTTTCCCAAACACGCGATTTAGCAGTTTGTCCCTCCTTTCTTTTAAGAATGTAAACTCCCGAACAAATTTTATCCATATCGTCCTCCATCGTTGATGTGGCTGCCTGCCACCTGCTTGGAGCTTAGGCGCACTTCACTTGCGCTTTCTGTACGTCATGGGTTCAAAGGTTATCTGTGCGTAGTTATGTTTTAAAACGTGACCGTGTTTAAATAACTGTCTTAAATATTGTGTTTTACAAAATTAGACATTGATTAATGTCTTTATCATCAGTGTGCAATTTATATATAATATATATATTTCATGAACCCGCCCCAAACCGCACCACACTGAAGTAAAAATGTATTGACCCGATCCAGGGGTAACCCGCGGATACCGCGGGTTAGAAGTCGAGACGCGCATCACTAGTGTGAAGAATATTGACTTAATGTTTTCAGATTTGCAAGGACACAGTTTCTAACCTTAATATTTTGTTTTCTTCTATACATTAGATGTGAAGAAGGACTGGTCAGACCACGCGCTGTGGTGGGAAAAGAAGAAGACATGGCTGCTGAAAACCCACTGGACGTTGGACAAGTATGGCATCCAGGCTGATGCCAGGCTGCTCTTCACGCCGCAACACAAACTGCTGCGCCTCCAGCTGCCCAACATCAAACACATGATGGTCAAAGTGAACTTCTCAGACCGGGTCTTCAAGGCCGTGTCGGACATCTGCAAAACTTTCAGTGAGTAGATTTCACCGGGTAGTGGGGAGTGTGAGATGAGGCATTTATGACTGGGAGCTGTGTGAATTTGGGTTTTTAGACATACCAGGAGTAAACACACCCTGCTGTATTCAAAACTTTCCTCCTATTTTTAGAAGATCTGCATGAAACTTTGACAATCACTAGTTTTTTATTCAGCCGTTTGTTTTTAATAAACACTCTCAGCTATGCACGCTTCAGCATGGTGGACTAGTCTGAAGTCACGTCCTTGGACTGTCTCCCTGATGTTTAGTAAACAGAGATTATTGATCTCTCTGAGGCTTAAAATGTGGTTTTATTTTGTTCACTGTCTTACCTGCTGCCTCCTTTTACGACACTCCCCACACACACACACCCACACACACACACACACACACACACACCAAGTGCCCCCCACATGTAGTTAAGAACTGGATCTAACAGTCTCGCCCACAGTGGGTGGGTGTCTCATATCACTGGCTCCACACTGTCCTGTAAAAGAGTCAGAGGTCACATTCTGGACCCCATCAGGCCAACTCCCACTCTCCTGCAGCAGACCTCACCCTATGTCACTGCTATATAGCCACACACACACACACACACACACACACACACACACGCACGCACGCACGCACACAAACCATGAGATGGGGTCGCAGCACACCTGTTGTGTCTTTGTCCCAGGACTGTTTTCCGTCCATCAGCTCTCGTCTGTTTGTTAGCATTTAAAAGTAGCTGTTCTGTGAAATGAAATAAAAATGAAATATTTCTGAGTGTTTTAATACACAAGGAGTTTGTTTTGGAAAGGCTGGAAAATTTGGGAGGAACTGGACAGGAGTGTTCCTCACAAATGGGTCGGCTTCTGTAATGAAATTCCTCCAGCTTCAGGCAAAAGGAGGAAAAAAATCAGGAAGAGTTGCTTTTAGCTGACTTGACGTGTCAGCGTGTTTGTTTTTACTTAACTTTATTGCTCATTAGTTGGAGACGGTTCTGTGCTGCAGCTTTATGACAGCTGACTTGGCTTAATTAATAACAGCGGGTCTGGAAGAGTTTGTTTTTTATCTGGGCAACTTTCGGTTTGACTATTTCCTGTGAATATTTTCAACCGGCTGCTTTTTCAGCTCTAGAGAATCAGAGAGGACAGGAAGAGATGAAGCCTGTCCAGACAGCAAAAAAGGGAGGGGCTTTATTTATTTATTTATTTATTTATTTATTTATTTATTTATTGTCTTCTAATGTGAAAAGTTCTAGAAGAGAACTTTTATACTGTAGGATTTGTTTGTGTGTCATGCCTGGCCACACAGAAGCTATTTCCTGTAATAAATATGTCAGGCTTTTCTCTACAGTTCAGTTTTCTCATTTTTTTTAATGTTGTCAAAATAAAGTCTTTGTTTTGTAAATCTGATCAAATATCTTTCCAGCTTCCTTTTTGTCAGTATTTTTTCTTATAATCAAATAATGACTTTGAGCATCATGAACTGTTCGGTGGTGAGCGTATAAATAAACGTAACACTCCTAAGTTGGACGTTTAATGTGAACGGCTGTTGAGGACAGCTGTTTTCTGACACAGACATCTGGACGGACTGGAACTTGGTAAAAGTTGAAGTACACAAAAATACACAAAAATCACTCACATCCACTACCATTTGTGACCTCTAGCTCTGTTTGGCAGCTCTCACATCCTGTAGTGCACTTTTAACTTAATGGCAAATAAAGTGGATTTTCCAGTTTTAGTTTTAGGATAACTAGCATTTTTTTTAACTGAGTCAAATTAGCCCAAAACCTGTTTGATGTTATGGTGAAAGAAATACGTCGGAAGTGTCCAGATCATGCAGAAGCTTTTGACTTTTCACACGAAGCCAACGCATGGAGTCTGATCTGTTTCTGTCAACCACTTCAGGGTAGCAAGAGTCAGGTTTTACAGCTTGATTATAACAGATACAGTTGCGTTTTAAGGAACATACAGAAGGCAGAAAGTTTTAGATTACAGTAAATCGGTGAAACAGCAGAAAAAGAAAATAACCTGGAAGGAAAGCTAACTGAATTTTACAGCCTGTGCTGGAGTTGGGTATTGTAGTTTTTCTGGAGGAACTCTTTGATAAGCCAGTTAGTGTGAGCTGTAGGTTTATTGTTTTGGTTCGGCTGATTAATGGTCCATTAGCCTGTGGTCTGATTACTGGGTCTGACTGCTGGGGGTGTTGCCATAACAGAGGCACTGTGATTGTGTCTAAACACTAACTCTTAAATACAAGAGAATGAAATATTGCATAGTGGCATCTTTTTCTTTCTGGGTAATGAAACTAATCCATGATAATCCTGCTTTCTCGTCCTTATTTGACTCAGCTGGAGAAATGTAATCACTATTATTTTTATACCCTTTATGATAGTACCATTATACTTATTGTGTAAATCTTCAGAATGAATATTTGAATACATTTCAGTGAGCATAAAAGGGAAAAACCAGTGATGTCACTTTTGTCCATTTAGGGTCTCCAGCTGTGTGTACGGTAAATTTGAACATAGTAAAAAATAGTCTCTGATGGTGTTTGGGATTTCTTGTGGCTGGGATTACTCACTAAAGTGAATCATCTATTCCAAGGAGTAGATCTGTTAGCCCAGCTGGCTTCCAGTCACCGCTCCTCTGGCCACCAGCCTGGCTTCTGCCAGAGATGTCTGGAGGATGGGGGGTGATCTTACTATCCAGGTGTAGTTTCTGCTAAAGGAAACCCTCCAAGCTGTTCTTGGTACACTCTCCATCACTCTTCTGTAGAAGAAATAATTCCTCAAAGTTCATTCTTTCATAAACACAATAAAGTGAATTTAAACAGCTGACTGCATAAATGAAAATGATCCCTCTTTGCAAGTCTGGTTAAAGGCACAGTGTATGATATTTTTACCAGTTTACCATCAAATCCTGTGTTTCCAGTTCACAAACTTATACTTTTTCACTAATATTTCTCACCAACATCAATTCCAAACATTCCTCTCAATTTGAAATTATAATTTTTTTTATACATAAACTGTGGTCGACGCTCCATGGTCATCCACCATCTTAAAATACAGTAGCTGTTTAGGGACATGCGAGCTCCACGTTAGGCGTTTGGACTATGACTGTAACCTGAAAGAACCAGCAGAGGGCAGCAGTGCGCCCTGGAAGCATGAAGTCTGCTAATTCAACTAAGAAATAGAAAAGAATAGCTACGCCATAGCTGTACTTGTTAGTTTGAATAATAAACAATTAAATCAAAAGACATACAATGTGTCAGTTCGTCATCATGTCCAGCACACGAAAGCCGCATGTGTTCAGACCCCCGCCCTCTATTATCTGGACGCCAGCCTCCAATTAGTGTCTCTGACTCCCAAACTCACCTCAAGTTGTTCATTCGTCTTTTCCTAGTACCAGAACTCCCGACCCGTTCCCAACGTGTCCTTTTCAAAGTCGTGCTACTCAAGTCTCCTCTCTTCCCGCAGCCTGCCGTCTGGCCCAACACGCTACAGCACTCGTCCGCTAGCCAGTGGCTAAATCAGCGGTGTTTACTTTATCTCCACAACACTTTACTAACAGCGATTTAGTTCTCCACGTGTTAATGAAATGCTCTGACACAGAGGACTTCTCAAACGTTACCTTTAGACTTGGGTCTCCTTTTGCTGGTAATCTGTGGTAGTTTACACGCAGCACACACAGCGTCTCCCCCGGCCTTAGCCGTGACCAACTAGTAGCTCGTAACACCCATCTCCACCATGCCAGCCGTGAGCCACGATTAGCTGGTGGCTAAGCCAGCATTGTTTATTTGATCTTCCCAGCGTGTCCCCGGCTCACCAACCCTCCTTCACCAAATGTGGTTAACGATCAGCCAGTGATCGCTCCAAATCCATATAAGCCGGTAGCGGCAGCCAGTTTGTTTACATCGAGCGCACCATGAGCCACGTGAAACGGGTGTTGTGGGAAATTATGTTCCCCTGAAATATTCTTTTTCCCTTAGGCAGTCAAGAGCAAATATTTCCAAATTCACAGAACTTATTGTCTATTATGAGGACTAAACTACCCCAAATAAAAGATGGTTAAACTGAGTGAGATTACATCCTTTTACATACATTTCAAAAATGATAAATGAGCTTGCTGCAAAAGAGTGAACAAGAGTGTTTTTACTGTATCTTTTTTATTGTTTTTAGGAGGAAATACAGATAAAAAATCACAAGCATAACATTATTACTTAACATTACTTCATTTTCCCTTAAAAATTGATCACAAATGTTGTGAAAATAGCCAGAAGTGCGATCTCCCGACACGGGGGCCAGAATATTTCGGGGGAACACAATTTCTCACATCTGACCTCCCGGCTGACCTCACCCCTCCTTCGTGTGTGAACTGTGACATCTTCAAGAACAGAACTAGCTTACTTCCTTCAGTCATAATTGTAAATGCTTTTTTAAAGAGGTCGAGGAGCTTGTTTTAAGCTTTGTGTGAGTTAGGCTACACAGGTTGGGAATTGATTATACAATCAAACTCATGAGTGAGCCACCGTAGCTGAAATACTTTCTCTGAACTGCATGGCGCTTTAGAGTCACATTTTTTTCATCATGATTTCAATGGATTTCACACACGGGGCTTTTAAAGGTTGGAGCGGTTCTCTACGAGGAATTAAAACTTATTTGAGCTAAAGGACTCCAAGTGGAAATTGTGATTTATGAGATTTGGAAAAACAAATAATTAGACAAAATTGTCTTTTCAGAGTGATAGTGTAAGATTTTTGTCTCAGACCTATTCTTATCATATGTTAGGGTTATTGATTATTATTTCTGACTTTTCTCTGATTCTGAACACGGGGTATTAAACCCTTCAGGCCCTAGGCCATTTTTCTTTGGGCTGTGGCGCCTCTCAATTGGGGGCCTTTGGAGTTTCATGTCCCAAGTGTCAGTGATTGTTTGCATTGCCCGAGCACAGCTACAGCTACATTCAAAACAGTTGGATTGTAAACAAAGCCATTTTTGGTTTTTGATACAATAAGATAAAATAATAATTGAACTTTATTTTAGAAGAGCTGCCCTGTGTGAAAGTGCTGACAGGATTGAGGTTGTGAGTTCAAATTCTATTTGTTTTATTTATTCCAGGGGTCCTCAACTAAATTTGTTCAAGGTTTTTTTTTCCCAGCAGACACCAGTGAAGCTCAGATGCTCTTCTAAATTAAAGTTCAAGTATCATTGTATCTTAATTTATTACAATTTAAAATGGCCTTGTTTCTCATCTGAGCTGTTTGATGGTGGTTTTAGTTGTGTTTGGAGAATGTGGACAGTTGTAGATGTTTGGGACATGAAACTGTAGAGGCCCCCAGTTGGGGGGTGTTAGGGTTAAACAGGTTAATAAACATTTAAAACAGTTTTAGGCAGTAGTAACGATACATATGTTTAAGAGCTGAGTATCTGATCTTTGCGATCTTTAAATACAACATGAATTCACTGAGAAACAGTTTTTTTACTTGTTACTTCTGAAATCAGATTAGTCACTCTGAGTTTCATATGCAAGCTAAACTTGAAAATAGTCTTCTACACCTGTTCCCTGCATTAGCCACTCAATCACACTGAAAATTAGCATTCATGGACTCACCCATTTTGGCTCGTGACATGGAATGCTGTTATCGATTTAGCATCCAGGAGAGCGCAAAGTACGTATCGACTACTAGAAGCTAACCTTTAGCATTAGCAACTCCACCACGCAGCAGAACTCCTTTAGGCCTGTGTTAATTTTGGAGATAAAACCCCAAAATTGCAAAGCAATTAGAGTCAGTGGTAGTTGCATTGCTGTTAGCCAATCAGAGGTGAACCCACGTTGCCTGCTGGTGGTGGTCGGAGAGACCAGTGGCGCCTGTGCTCTGCAGCCTCGCCTCTGTCAGTGCACCCAAGGGCAGCTGTGGCTACATCGTAGCTCATCACCATCAGTGTGTGAATGTGTGTGTGTGAATGGATGAATGATACACTGTAGTGTAAAGCGCTTTGGAGTCCTTACTCTGAGAGGCCCTATACAAGTGCGGGTCATTTATCATTTATCATTTATATCAGGAAGTAAGACTCCTGCTATCTGAAGCTCACCAGTGCTGTGGCTCACAAACAGAAGCGCCAGAGCTTTTTTTTTCCCACTAGAGACCACTGATATTTTTGAAAAAAAAAAAAAAAAAAACGTAAACTTGGTTTTTAAAAATAGCCTCTGTGTTTGTTTTCCCTTTTTTGGATTGATAAAAATAAATCTGAGCATCTCCTGCAACACTTGAGACCTTAAACCTCTGCTGATTCACACCTTTTTGTGGCGAACACATTTGGATATAATCGGTTCAAACTGATACCTGTTGTATAAAATTAGTTTGTGTCATGCAGCAGATTTATTTTGTATAAATCCCCAAAGTTTCCATGCTGGAAGAGTTAATCAAAGTGACTTTACAGTGACGAGCGCCATGCTTCTGCGATGCCTCACCCAGACACACAGTCCTGTCCTAGTACTCACAGTCTGATACGTACTTCGCCGTACGTGTTGGCCCCCTCTATAGCTCAGTGGGCTAAACCTCTGCAGCACGCCTTCAACTCCCATGGCTGTATAAGGGCACAGGCGCTGTGCTCCAGTGCTACAGCAGAGCGAGACCGAAGGAGGAGGGAGGCCGAGAGAGAGGGCTCGCTCCCATCTGGTAGTTCTTAAAACTCCTGGAATGCGTTTGCTTTAGTTACACAAACCAAACAAGCTCACCAAGTCGAGATGTCCTCTCAACCCTCCTCAACACCTTCAGCAGACCTCTTCAGTCAGTTTGTGAAACTCGTAGAAAAGTCAGACTGGTTTAAAATCCATGAAATGATGAAACGCACGGCTGTTTTCAGGAGGGAAGAAAAATGGAAATATTAGAAATGCTCTGTATCAGTATAATCTTTGATTTATTTGGAAGACGTAAGAATTTCAAAGTGTCCAGATGTGCTTGCTCCTACGTTCTATCCATCTACTCTAATCCTGACGCCTTCTAGCTGCTTTAACCCCCTCCGTCAGAGCTACTGCTGAGTGATGGCTCCCTGGCTCTTAAATTCAAGTGATGGAGAAGCTGGGGGAATACTGTTTTTCTCATTATGTCCACTGCCGTGTCTCACTGTCTGCTCTTTTTGCATTCAGCTGCTTTGTGTACAGAATCTGCTCTTTTTTAATGTTTAACCATCTCTCTTTGGTGATTCTGCCACAGATCACAGCTGAAGTGTGCTGTGCTGTGTGAGGGGAATAGTTGGGGGAGGAAAGTTAGGGGATTGAAGTTGTTTCTGTCTTGCTTTAGTTGCAGATTAGTTAAAACAAGATTTTGGGGGTTCTAAGAAAAGGGATTTTCATTTTTCCACCCTCTGTGTGCACAGCTGTCTACAGCCTTTACCCAGAGACCACCTCTATTCATGTGGGTTGACATTGTTGCAAAATATGTTGACTTTGCATCCCAGTTCTTCTGTCTTATATATTTTCGCTCATTGTTTGGTTGCTCTGTGAGAGGTTGGGTGGTTATTTTTAGAACCTGTAGTTGAAACGGTCTGGCTTTCTGACTTCGTGTGCAGAATGTCCTCTAATGGTTAGCTTCTTTTTGGCCGCCTGTCCCACAGATATCCGCCATCCAGAGGAGCTATCTCTACTGCGCAAACCCCGCGATCCTAAGAAGAAAAAGAAAAAGTTGGAGGAGGCGGAAGAGGACGATCTGGAGCTGGAAGGTCCACTATTTACTCCTGGATCAGGTAGACCAAATGGGCATCTGTAAAAGTTTTCTGTAAACAGTTTTTAAATCTGCTCCAGGTTTTTAGGAATCGTGGAAAACACTTTATTTATTTATTTTTTTTTAAATAAAGCAGCAGGTTGATGGGCAGGTTCTGCTGGCTCCCATGGAGAAGCTTTCATCCCTTCCTTGTTTGTCTGCACTTGTGGTTGAGAAACCACTAAGATAACTCCAAATTGCTTCACCCTGCTGCCACTGACCAAATGGGAACGTGTGAGTTTGAGGCCTGCTTGGGAACAACAAACCGTGGCTCCCAATTCTTCTGCAGGGAGTACCAAGAATGGCTGAGATTCCACACATAGCTGGTCTCGCTGCCATTTTAAGCCCAAACCAGGCAACATGAGTGCAGTTATTATGGCTTTAGTCTTTTCTGCACAGAGTGGAGCAGACACAACCATAAGAGCACTGGGTTAGCACATGCTAACGCTATGGGGCATGGTGAATGGGACTCTTTGTGTGGTTAGAAGCCCTTTTGCTCCTGCTTTATGTGCATCACTCGACAATTTCTACCCTCACATCTGGATGGAAGGTGACCTGTGAACTTGAACTGGAATGTCTGTCCATGTGAATAAAGATGTACCATCATTTATGTGCAGATTCATGGGTGTTTTCTCTAGTTTGGAAATGAAATGAGTGCTTGACAATGTTTTTGAAGAGCATAGCAACATCATGATGATCACACCCAGAGTTGCATCATTACAGAATGTGAGTGTGCTACAGTAGAGGCCCATGTTGTTCCCAGCTGATGAACGCAGAGAAGCAATGTCAGACGAGACGTGCAGAGTCTGCTTACTGTCACCAGGCTTTCTGTGTGTGTGTGTGCGTGCGTGTGCGTGTGCGTGTGTGTGTGTGTGTGCGTGCGTGCGTGTGTGTGTGTGTGTGTGTGTGTGTGTGTGTGTGTGTGTTTCCTCCCTTCCAGATCACATGCTTCAGTCGGATTGTTTATCGTGTTCATGTTGTTGGTTATATTTCCGTCCCTTAAGGGGGGACGATGGCCTTTTAGCCCAGGTTTCCTGACCTATCTCACAAGTTTTTCCCCTCCAAAGCATCAATCTCTTTCTAAATGTGGGAAGCTTTATGTCCCATCAGTTCTCATGCTCATGTTAATGGCTCACAGTACTGATGCTGCTAATCTTCAGCTGTTGTTTTTACTCAAACTGAGAGCCGATGTTGCCCGTAAAGCCACTCCAACCCGTCTAACATCTGAACCTCAAGCAGCCAGAACTTTTCATATTTGTGCTGACGTTTAGGGTTGCCAGCTCTTTGTCATTAATGTTGGATGGATGAAACCCTACTAATCATACCAGGGTGATCCCTCTCCACAAAGAGGGTAAACTGAGTCATCCTCTGAGGCTGAGAGCTGGCAGTGCCAGTGGAAAGGCTACAAAGCTTCTCATTTTTGTTCACAAACTTTTTCTCTTCTTCTGTCCTTGAAGAGTTTTTCAGCATCTTGAATCTGACCTACTGTTGTTTCCATTCCACTCCTTCTCTACTTTTTCCTGTCTTTCTCTTTCTTCCTCCTCCTCCTTTTCATCCTATAGCCTCTGAAATAATTTACATCGGACCTGTCAAAGGTAAGCTTCCCTCTTCCCCTGTCCCCTTTTCTTCAGCACTGCTTCCTTACCCTACTCTTTCCTCCCCCACTGCTGGTGTGTTATGGTCACATGACATCCATAACCTTTGGGACTAGCAGCAGAGTCACCTGATGTTGGTGGTCTTATGATAAACTCTTAGGAATTAGCTTAAAGCTCACTTTTCTCAAAGCCTGCTTACTGTGTGTGCTGACAATGGGCAGGATAGCAAATCCCTTTATGTGTGTGAACTTGTTGCTTCAAGTGTTAAGTGTGCTTTTTTTTCACAAGTACAAATTGTATTTTTGCTTTAACAGGACATAATAATCGGTATGGTTGAACAGCCTATACAGGAGTTTTGTGTAACAACCAGATCCATTAGAGATGCTTTAGTTTACTGACCGATTCCCCATTATTTACTAATGTTTTAGCATCCAATGGTGGGATAGTTTCCTCTAAAACGGGGATGTCCACACTTTTCAAATGCCAATTTTTTTAAGTAGTATTTATCAAAATGGGTCCAAAATAGACATGCAAGTAAAAATCTAAACATCAAAATGTTAGAGAGTGTCGATCTGTATCAACAACCTACTAGAGGGATAACATGTCCAGGTGCAGCCAAGGTGTTGAACGGATCCGCTTTGGTGGCCTCTGCTGTAATTGATGAAACCATAAATTAAGCTCACAGCAAAATTGTTTAGTTTTAGTGGTTTCTCTTCTCCAGCACACTTGATTCGGTGGTTGAATCACCTGTGCAGCAGCTCATCAGGCTCTGCAGAAGCCTGTTAATCACTTGCTGACTGACATCAGGTGTGTCTACACAGAGTTAAAACTAAAACGTGCTGGACTCCGGCCCTCCAGGCCTGGAATTGAATACCACAGCTAGATCTTTCACATTCCTCCAAAGACCCAGTGAGAGATGGGAGTTCTCTTCTTCACCCAATGACCTCTGCATTAGGAGGCAAGGAAGACCTTGAAGAACCCTACAGGATAACATCCTCCTCAGCATAGACTGGGTGGTCATGGCCGTCACCCTTTTTCTCATGACCTCAGCAAGCAAACACAAACAGATCCACTCGCAGGCACAAACCAAGCCCACTTCCTGACTTTTCAGAAGGGATTTAGAGGTTTAGCCAGTGTTGCTTCTTGACCCTGGCCCCACAGAGGGAGAGACGGGGAGGACGAAGCCGAAAATACTCCACAACCAACAGGAAGTGTAAACAGCCTCCCTTCAGTGGTAATTCTAGTGAAATACCAAAATTGAAAAGACAAAATTAACCCCGAGAAACTTGGGACCTTTTTATTTTACTGTGCGTGCTAGAGTTATAATGAAGATGTAAGTAATGCGTTTTTGCATATCTCTCCTTGTGGGTACATTTTAACGTTTGCTGTGTGTGTGTCTTCCTTCAGGTTTCTTGGCTTTGTAAAAGAGTGACCATGCTTTCATTGTGCACCATCTCCATGCTGATTTACATCCGTCCTGTTTTCAAAAAGGGACATTGATCATTGGCATGATTTTGGCTGGTAGTCACATGGAGTTGTTGACAACTGTCTGATCTGGCTTAAACTGCAACTTGGTGACGTTTTATGAAAGTCTGCTTGATTTGTGAGCTTCAGTGCTTTGTGAAGAATGTGAGAGCATAAATGTAAACGTCTGAATAATGTAGTGTCTGTCCTGTATACACGCAGAGACTAATCCATGGCTATGTTTTTGTTTCTAGGGAGCATCTACTCCAGTCCAGGCTTGTACAGTAAGACCATGACCCCCACTTATGACTCCAGAGACGGCAGCCCTCTGTCACCCACCTCAGCCTGGTTTGGAGACAGTCCTCTGTCTGAGGGCAACCCCAGCATCCTTGCTGTCAGCCAGCCAATTTCCTCCCCAGATGTCCTGGTCAAACTTTACAAGCCTCAGTCCCTTCTGGACAAAGCCAAAATAAATCAGGGGTGAGCTGAGGTTTGGTTAATGGTTTGACCAATAGTCTGTTGTCATAATTTCTTTAAACATATGCACCATCTTTACAGGTGGTTGGACTCATCCAGGTCCCTCATGGAGCAAGATGTAAAAGAGAACGAAGTTCTCCTGCTGAGGTTTAAGTACCACAGTTTCTTTGACCTTAACCCTAAGGTACACCCCCCATATAAAACATCAACATGTCTTTTTCACTAGACACTGTATGATGCTGTGCAACACAGATGTGGCGGAGTCTTTTCCGTTCAGTATGTGGTTTTGTTTATCCACAGTATGATGCCATCCGAGTAAACCAGCTGTATGAACAGGCCAAGTGGGCCATCCTGCTGGAGGAAATTGAGTGCACAGAGGAGGAAATGATGATGTTTGCGGCCCTGCAGGTAGGAATGTGTTTATGCAAGAGCTTTATCTTTTTTATCCATTCAGCATTGTTTGAATTTGAAGCCCTTGGATCTTTTTGCAGTGGACACCAGTTTTCTTAAATGCAGGCTAATGAATTAAATTGGAGCCCAAAGCGAAGCCATTTCGTTGCTAGTTCTGCCGTGACTTTATGCACTGTTATCGTGTGAGTTGATGCAAGGAAATTTCCGCTCTGGACTCCTCTGCATAATAAGAATTACTTCTTTTATTGTGGAATTACAGTCATTCCAAAATATACTAGAATTGTATCAGTTTTAAACAAAAATCTTAACATTTTAAATGATTTTCAAAACATTACAGAGGAAATTCAAAACATTTGAATATCATGCAAATGTCCATTTATTCCTCTAATTTAACGTAAACTGAGAGACCATCTTAAGGCTCGGGAACTCTTTCTAGGTGTTTTGAATTCATTAGTTGATTAGAGTGTGACACTTTGAGTCTAGAATATTGAACCTTTTACAATATTCTTATTGTCTGAGATTTTTAATTTGGGGTTTTTATAAGCTGTAAGCCACAATCATCACAATTATAACAAATAAAGGCATGAAATTTCTGGCTTTGCATGTATTGAGTCTCTCAAATACAGTGGTGCGCGAAAGTTTGGGCAGCGTTGTTAATCTTCATGATTTTCTTTTATGAGTAATTTGTTGAATAAAAAAATGTGTTAAATATATCATATAAAAGACACTTGGTGATATTCGAGAAGTGAAACAAAGTTTAAAGTATTTACAGAAAGTGTGCAATAATTGTTTAAACAAAATTAGGCAGGTGCATACCACAAAAGAGAAATGAACTCAATATTTATTAGATCCTCCTTTTGCAGAAACATCAGCCTCTAAACACATCCTAAAGCTTCCAGTGAGGGTCTGGATTCTGGTTGAAAGTATTCTGGACCATTCGTCTTTACAAAACATCTCTAGTTCATTCAGGTTTAATGGCTTCCTAGCATGAACAGCTCTTTTTAACTCACACCACAGATTTTCTCTGTTATTTAGATCTGGGGACTGAGATGGACATTTCTGAATGTTGTACTTGTTCCTCTGCATGAATGCTTTAGTAGATGTTGAGCTGTGTTTACAGTTGTTGTCTTGTTGAAAGATCCAGCCCTGGCACAGCTTCAGCTTTGTCGCTGATTCCTGGACATTGGTCTCCAGAATCTGCTGATATTGAGTGGAATCCAATGTGTCTCTTAACTTTAACAAGATTCCCAGTCCCTGCACTGGTCACATAGCTCCACATCATGATGGAACCACCACCATGTTTTACTGTAGGTAGCCGGTGTTTTTCTTGGAATGCTGTGTTCTTTTTCCTCCATGAATAACACCCCTTGTTATGCTCAGATAACTCTGTTTTAGTTCCATCAGTCCACAGCACCTTATTCCAGTTTGAAGCAGACTTGTCCAGATGTACTTTAGCATACCTCAAGTGGCTCTGTGTGTGCTGAGAGAAAAGGCTTCCTCTGCATCACTCTCACATGCAGCATCTCCTTGTGTAAAGTGCAACGAATATTTGCAGACTCCATCTGCAGCAAGATGATGTTGTAGGACTCGGACTGTTCTCACCATTCTTCTCTTCTGTTTATCTGAGATGTTTCTTGGTCTGACACTTTGAGCCTTAACTTGAACTGTGCCAGTGGTCTTCCATTTCCTCAATATGTTCCTAACTGTGGAAACAGACAGCTGAAATCTCTGAGACAGCTTTCTTTGTTCTTCCCCTAAACCATGATGGTGAACAATATTTTAATTCACTTGTGTATGGAGGTCAAAGGTCACTGAGCTTGCCAAACCAACTTTGAGTTCCAATAATTAGTTCTAAAGATGCTGGAATCAATAAAATGACAACAATGCCCACATTTATTCACCTGCCTAAGTTTGTTTTAACAATTATTGAACACTTCATGTAAAAACTATACATTTTTTGCACTTCTCAAATATCACTGTGTGTGTCTCGTATGTGATTTATTTAACAGAAATTTTAAACCGTAACAACTTATGATTTTTACAGGAAAATTATAAAGATTAACAGCGCTTCCTAAATGTTTTCACCCCTCTCTATTAGTTTCAGAATATTAGTTGAATTACTGACATAAATGTACTTTTTGCATGATATTGTAATTTTTTTTAATTTTAAGACATTATTTCAGGGTATTTTGATGCTGTTAATGTGAGATGAAACTTTGAGTAGCCCAAACTAGTTTCAAAGAGCGGATTCTCCTCTGCTGCTTTATTTGACCATGACATGAGGTTGGAACATTTCCCAGGTGCCACTGGGCCAGCAGTTCACCAGTGAAAGGGGAATAGTAGAAATGATTTACAGACATTTCACCTCTTTTCCTTCCTCAAGTTGCTAGTGGTAGACTCGGGTTGGTGCCCCAGCTATTTCTGACCATCATAAACTGGGGGGCCAAGACCTGAGGACGCCACACTGTCCTCACCCCAGGGGTAATTTTAGTGCATCTTGGGCCTCCGTGCTTTTGTCAACACCACCCGCCCCAACAAGAATCCATCTCCTAGACCTACTCACATTCTTCTAAAGCTTTCACACTCTTGAGTTATTACTTGTTTTATTGAAGGGCTTATAGTCAAACCAGATTTAATTATCTGATCGATGCGGATCTGTGGTGTTTTGGCTAGAAGCAGCTCTGTCACTACCCGTCTGTTGGCACGTTGGTAGCTGCTCTTATGTTTCGGCCATGCGGCATGAGTAGCTCTGGGATTTTGACCAAGATTTCACCATTAAGGGATACAACAGTCTAAATAAAGAGCAGCGATCATCTTAATCTGGCATGTGGCTTGTTGGGTGTTGGCTTCCAACCTGGATTTTTAGCTGTGACTGTTCAGATATTAGCTAATCAAGGGTCAAGAACAGCAAGGGACCTTGGAATCACCCACGGAAACGGGAAACAAGCCTCCTAAGGAGCCAGGTTTTAGATTGAAGCAGCAGACAGTTGGAGCGTCAGATGGAGCCCTTTGTCCCACTTCCTGCTAGCCGATGCCTGACATATTCCTCTCAAAGGCCATGGCTCACTCCGAGCAGCTGTTCATTCATCCATTGGTGAGGGGGTGTTGGTGATGAGTTGACATGATAAATACAGTTTGCCGACGAGCCGTATTTAGTTTCTGTGACTCACTGTTGGGTTTTCTGTGATGAATTCTGGTGAATTGATATTTCCATTGTTCCAGGAACGTGTTTCCTGCGCCACACTCTTGCACATCCACATTTTATTTGGTGTTAGACTTCAAAGACGTGCAGTAAAAGCATTTCCCCGACCGCAGCGCTCATTACACAGTGGCTTAGCATCACTAATCATGTTGCTGCAACCAGTCATCTTTTTTTTTCAGTTGGGCATCGTTTTGCCTTGTTGCACAACCTATCTCATCTTCTCCTGTTCTTTAAAGGATATGACTCTGTGCGTCCCGATAATACGTCGTTATGAATTGTCTTTTTGAAAAAAGTTGGAGCATTTTTTGTATTAGCGACACAAAATGTAGCAAACTTTACAAAAGTCTGTAAATGTGCAGAGTTCTCCAACTCAGTGGAGTTAGTTTTGCAACCTTTAGCTACAGATTGGATGTTTCAGTGTGTAATGAACTGCAGGTCCTGGTTTTAAGAAGATTCATTACTTGAAGTCATAAATGTACCAAACTGAACTTTTTTTCCCTTCTCAGTATCACATCAACAAGCTTTCAATCGTGTCTTCTGACAACCACATGAATAACAGCGAGAAGGAGGTGGATGAGGTGGACGCAGCCCTGTCTGACCTGGAGATTACTTTGGAGGGGGGGAAAACGTCCAATTCGCTGGTATGAGAATCCACTATCACTACCTTTTTCTTGCCAGCTGTGAAGGTTTTTTTGCACAGATCTTTTTTGTTAGTTTTCTCTAGAATTGCTTTTTTCTCCCCAGTAATTTAAAGGATCTAAATCTGACAAAGAACTGTGGTTGTAAGAAAGTTAACGTCCCACTTCCAGTAAAGGTTATAGCCAGGTGAGCTCATTGTTTTGGCCATAACTCAGGCTTATACTAACAGTATTTTATTTCCCTTTCCTACTAGGGTGACATCACATCTATTCCTGAGCTAGCAGACTATGTCAAAGTCTTCAAGTAAGTCCACTGTCTGAACTAGCTAATCCCTCTAGACCGTGTGCTTTGTCGCTTTTAATCAAGTGAAAATAACTTCTAATGAGCTGATTTAGAGCCCTTATTATAATCTAAGATACCATGAGACTAACAAAGAACCATAAACGTTCTTTTCTGCTCTAATGGGAAGGTTCTTACCCATTTTGTATCAAATGTCTGCTAAGAATTGTTTTCTGGAAGTGAGGTCTAGCCTGTGACTGCAGTTGGACTAAGCAGATTTTGAATCCTATCCATATTTGGCTCGAAGACTTTCCTGACAGGCTTCTGGCCCCCTGAGTGGCTGTCTCATAAAATATACAGTATAAAGTTTGGGCTGGGGGGGTGATACCGTGGAGCACTTCCTCTTTAATGGCTTTCTACCAAAGTAGCTTCTGTCCAATCGACCTCGCTGACTTTGCAGTTCAGAAACTTTGTCTTCTTTTTAGTTTCTTATGACCCCTCACCCCTTCCTGTTCACCACTTATAAAGACAATGCATGCTTTTTTCCCTCTTCTGATGTCTGTCTTTGTCTGATTTGTATCTCTAGACCCAAGAAACTGACTCTGAAGGGTTACAAGCTGTACTGGTGCACGTTCAAGGACATCACAATTTCCTGTTACAAGAGTAAAGAGGAGGCACACGGAACACCTGCTCACCAAATGAATCTGAGAGGTGCTGACATACAAGCACACTAAATATATGATGTCACGGCCACCCTGGAATGTGATGCTCTAACGTTTGTTGATGTAGCTGGTGTGTCTAAAGACTGGTCATGACCTGTTGACCTCTGCTTCCTGTGCACTCTGACTATCCTGTAGGTTGCGAGGTAACGCCAGATGTTAATATCTCGGGTCAGAAATTCAACATCAAGTTGCTAATACCCGTGGCTGATGGCATGAATGAGATTTGGCTTCGGTGTGACACGGTGAGGCTGAACTTGATGCGCCCTTTTCTCCTAATTCCTTTATTTTTACTTTCCTCAAAGCCTTTTTTTTAACATTTGATTTTACTTTTCCAGGAGAAACAGTATGCTCACTGGATGGCTGCATGCCGCTTGGCCTCCAAAGGGAAGACCATGGCCGACAGCTCGTACAATCTGGAGGTCCAGAACATTCTCTCCTTCCTCAAGATGCAGCACCTGAACCCCGACCCGCAGTTCATTGAACCAATCACCACTGACATCAACCCAGAGTGTCTGGTATCGCCACGCTACCTTAAGAAGTACAAGAACAAGCAGGTAAACACTTGGGCCGTGTTTTAGTAGAAGTGTTTAAGAAAACCGTTAATAAGAACCTAAGGGGTCTGTGTATTTTATGGGTTGTTTACTTTTCTGATTAGTTAGAGCTTGTGATGTTTCCCAGTCGAGCACCACCTGGCATCAGCAATCTTCCACTGGAATGCAGCCTCTACTCCTCTTTTTTATTCACTTTGTCTATCTTCTCTACCACGCTACTCCACAACAGCGGGGCGTTCCGGGTGAACCACCAACTGGGTGTAATATTTAATCACCACCAACATGGTTTAACACACTAGATTCACTTGCAAACAAGCAGGCTCCCGTGTGTACACAGGAGCAGCTGAGTACACGGCTGCCTTGGCCGTGTTGGTAGGGGACCGACCCGGCTCACTTAAACCAGGATTTGTTGAAATTGTAGTAAAAATGTGGAATGTTGGGCTGGAAGCGTGTCAAGAGACGAATGGTACAGTAAGTGATGACGCAGAAATCGTCTGGACCACAACATGAAGAGTCATCTAAAACATTCACGCAGGAAGGAAAAATTGGAGGCGAAATGGAGGATTTAATGTTTGAGAAGGGATTTACCACGGAAAACCTGGAAAATGGTGTTACTAGTGATGCGTGATGATGTCAGCACTACTGTTATTTGGGTTGTTTGAAGTTTTGACTAAACTATTTGATAAAACGGAAAAGGAACTTGTGATGTTCAGGAACGGGAATGTCGGTCTGGTCCAGCTGCACATGCAACTCAGTCTGATGGATGGTTTCTGCAGACGCAGCATTAATGGTTTACTGTTTGTACAGTGTGTGTCTTTACCCTCAGACTCACTCACACACACACACACACGTGTGTGTAGAGGGCGTGGTGCATCAGGAAACGAGCATTGCTTGGGAATGCTGCGCGGGAAAACTGTCTGGGAAAAGCCTGTTAATTCTCTCAAGTCTGCTGCAGCCCCTCCCCATCCCCTTGCTTAAACCAGGCTTCCTGTTGCAAGATTTATCCAAGGAGACTTCCGGGCTGTAGCTTCAAGCGGATTCACATCCAGAAATTTTCAGATTACACAAACCGGAATAGTTTCTGATCTAGTTTATGGATTCAGACAAAAGGAAATATTCAGAAGGCTTGAGAACCAACTGTTGAAGCTGTGAAAGGCTTTCCGATTCCATTGCTTGTGCTAGGTGTCGCCCCCATGTGGAGGAGAGGAGTTATAAACTGTTAAAATACTCAAACTCATATTTTGCTCTGAACCTGTTCATTTTTCATTTCTGTAAAGATAATGTCATTCATATCAGTTTGGTTTTCTTTTATGACTAAATGCACGTTACCTCTTAAGCCTGTCCCGTCTCTCTCCTGTATCACAGTTTAGCATCCTGCATTCTTTGATGAGCTCTTCTCCCTCCACAGTGATCTTATGTGTCTTTTCTCTTTGTCCTTGTCCATTTTTCCCCCTCTTTCTCTTTTTGTATGCACCTCTGTCATTCCTCTGCACCCCCATACCCCCCACCCTACCCAGCCAGGCTATGTCAGAGACTTGGTAAGTGATGTGTCCACTGGGTGCCTTTAAAGTCTTGGTGCATGCTTGTTTCAAGTTGTGTGTGCGTCTGGGTGGTCTTACTGTTAAATAAATAGTGGCTGTTGGAAGTAGCGTAGATGGCAGTGTTAGGGATGCCTTCTGTTTGTCTTCAGCTGATTTTGTTTCCAGAGCGTTCTCGAAAACAAAATAACACCTTTGAGATGAAGTGTGTTTTGGGTGGAATCATTACTATTAAGTGGGTCATTTAACACACTTTACATGCATTTAACTTTAACATCCACTAACTATCAAATCTATTCATCAGTTTGTAGATTGAGTGCTGAATAACATGTTTAGGATTTGTTTTCTAATTTTGAAACTTATTTTAGTCAGTTTTTAAAATTAAAATTATCACACAAAATGTGTGGTTTATATATATATATTTTTTTTGTAAAATTTCGTGTGATGCTTTTTGTTTCAGTGTCAACAGAAACTTCTCGGTAACTGGACTTGCTTTAATTTTAAAGCCATATTTTCAGAAATTTCCATTGAAATAAGCAATAATTAACCATTTTTAAGGTAGCTCTTATCATTTGACATTTGATTTATGTATAAAACCAATAAAGGAGAATACTGTGATTTTAGTCAAGTCATTATTTTATAGGCTCATTTACAGATCAAATGTGTGATACTTGTTCATTTAGACATACAATCAGCCATTTTAAGTTTTACTTGCAGGCTCAACGTTAATTCAATTATACATATTTTTTTACAACTGCTTTTTTCTGCATTAGCTGCAGAAAAAAATTGAGGGGAAATACACCCATGTCTTGTTCCTTTATTGTGGTTTATGTCACAGGACAATATTTGCATTTATGGACTCATCCACCTTGGCTTTCCACTGGGGAAGACTGTTGTTGATATAGTGTCCAGGAGAGAACAGAGCACGTTTCTGCTAATAGAGGCTAACTGTTAGCATTAGCAACACCACAACATTTTGGAACTCCTTCAGGCTTGAGTTATTTGTGGGGATGAAATATCAAAATTACAAAGCAAAGGGAAACAGTGGAAGAGTTGCATTGCTGTTAGCCAATCAGACGGAAGATATCTGCATATCATTCGTATTAATAAGACTTGTAAGCCTATTGTTTTTCACCCCTACCACTACTCTGGCCGACTTCTACTCCCTGCAACAGAAGCTCAAGAACCATACACCAATGCTAGTAACCAACATACACAGATGCTAGTAACCAACACACACATGCTAGTAACCAACATACACACATGCTAGTAACCAACACACACATGCTAGTAACCAACATACACACATGCTAGTAACCAACATACACACAAATGCTAGTAACCAACATTCACACACATGCTAGTAACCAACATACACACACATGCTAGTAACCAACATTCACACACATGCTAGTAACCAACATTCACACACATGCTAGTAACCAACATACACACACATGCTAGTAACCAACATACACACACATGCTAGTAACCAACACACACACACACATGCTAGTAACCAACATTCACACACATGCTAGTAACCAACATTCACACACATGCTAGTAACCAACATTCACACACATGCTAGTAACCAACATTCACACACATGCTAGTAACCAACATACACACACATGCTAGTAACCAACATGCACACAAACAAATACAAATGTTGGTAACTAACAAATACAAATGTTGGTAACTAACAAATACACTTGCTAGTAACCAACATACACACATGCTAGTAACCAACATGCACACATGCTAGTAACCAACATACACACATGCTAGTAACCAACATACACACATGCTAGTAACCAACATACACACATGCTAGTAACCAACATACACACGCATGCTAGTAACCAACATACACACATGCTAGTAACCAACATACACACATGCTAGTAACCAACACACACATGCTAGTAACCAACACACACACACATGCTAGTAACCAACACACACACACATGCTAGTAACCAACATACACACATGCTAGTAACCAACATACACACACATGCTAGTAACCAACATACACACACATGCTAGTAACCAACATACACACATGCTAGTAACCAACATACACACACATGCTAGTAACCAACATACACACTTGTTGGTATCCAACAAATACACATGCTGCATGGTGGTGCAGTGGTTAGCACTGTTGCCTCGCAGCATGAAAGTTGCAGTTCGAAACTCGGCTGCAGCCTTTCTGCGTGGAGTTGCGTGTTTGCATGCGTGGGTTTCCTCCGGGTACTCCGGTTTTCCGCACAGATCACAACATGCCCTATATGTTATAAATTGTAAGTCGCTTTGGATAAAAGCATCTGCCAAATAAATAAACATAAACATGCTAGTAACCAACATACACACATGCTTTGAGAGTTTGCAGGTTGGGGAGTGCAGCTTTGGGGAAACTTGGGAGTACCGGTATTCCTTGTGTATCTTAAGTACTTGATGAATCAATGAATTATTTGATAGAGTACTTGATAACTTAAATATTCAATAGCTGCATTGCTGATATTTGTTGTGTTTAGCTGTGGAATGGGAACTCTAAAATGTCTGTGATTGGTAACTGGTGCTGTATGTCTCCTGATGAGCTGCAGCTTTTCTGAACATTTGGTGTGGGTGGATTTGGGTGTTGGTGATAAAAGACTCGGGGCCAGTGTTGGAAATGACCTAAGATTTGTGTGTGATTGTGTATTTGACAGATTTCCGCCAGGATTCTTGAAGCTCACCAGAACGTTGCCCAAATGAGTCTCATTGAGGCCAAGATGCGCTTCATCCAGGCATGGCAGTCTTTGCCAGAGTTTGGAATCACTCATTTCCTTGCAAAGTACGTTTAAATCCAAACTGACTGTTTCTGAAAATGTCTGCTGCCTTAACGGTGTTTAATTTAGGTTTTGTGGGTTCTGAAGGTTCCAGGGTGGGAAGAAAGAAGAGTTGATCGGAATCACCTACAATCGGTTGATCCGAATGGATGCCCACACTGGAGATGCCATCAAGACCTGGCGCTTCAGCAACATGAAACAGTGGAACGTCAACTGGGAGATCAAGATGGTAGGCGTCTCAAAGAAAGTTGATCGTTTGACACATTTTTATCAAAATATGTCTGACGCGTGGTGCTTCGTGTGGTCAGGTGACTGTGGAATTCGCAGACGAGCCCAGCCTGTCCTTCATCTGTGCAGAAGTGGACTGCAAGGTGGTCCACGAGTTCATTGGCGGTTACATCTTCCTGTCGACACGCGCCAAGGACCAGAACGAGTCGCTAGACGAGGAAATGTTCTATAAGCTGACCAGCGGCTGGGTCTGAGCCAAACTGGGTTGCATCGTTGTCAGGGATTCTGGGCCAGGGTTCTAGGAGGGGAGAAGGGTGGGGGGTGGGATTATTTTATTGTATTCTTTTTGTCTTTGTGTTTAACTGTGCTGAAGAAGCCAGAGCAGCTTGACTGTTGCCATGGCTGACACATTGTTATAGTTTATATATATATATATATATTTGCATTAATGCTGATGAGAATATTTGTCACTACTCTTATTTTCTGGTTGGTACAGTGCAGGTGATGTCCTTGAATAACCTCTGCTCTACTTTTTTAAATGGTTGCCGTCAAACTTGCATCCATAACAATCCTGTAGTCGAATGGGCTCGACACACGGGAGGCGACAAACGACCGCGATCAGCGAAATTTGTCGCCGTCGCTTTTATTACCTGACACACGGGAGGCGATCCGCAGCAGCGGCCAGCGGATTTGCCGTCTACGCGTTCTGTTCCATGGCGAAATCGAAACTTCCGTTGTTTTGTTTGGCTGTGTCAGGTTGGAGGGAATTAAGGTTATTTAAGCGGTTCAGAGTTAATAAAGTGGTAGATATGATGTTTCACAAGGTGCTGCTAGAGTTATGTGAAATCTTACTTGTGATTTTACTATATAAAACATAATAATAATCAACTTCTCCTCCGTGTTTGCTCGGAGATGTACGGAGCATCCTGTCCGCTCATTGGTCAGTGAATGAAACCTCCGTTGATTGGTCCTCGTCTGAGCGACAGCGATGAAAAGTTGAAAATGTTTCAACTTTCTGGGATCGTGTCATTGGGTCGCCTGTGCACGACACGTGCACGAGCGCAAAATTTCACACGCACGTTTTTCGCGTTTCGCTTGGTAGGAGGGAGACCCTCGATTATCGCTTTGTCGCGCATGTCTCATTGAAAATGAATGGAGAGGCGATGTCGCCTCCCGTGTGTCGAGCCCAAAACACCAGAGTTAGTCCCAAAGAGTATTTGTCCTCCTCTTTCATCTTCAGTTGGATTCAAAGGTCCTTGGGTCACACATGCGTATCACCACCATCCAACTTTATTCCAGACACGATCAGGTCCATAGTAACAATAAAAGTCAGACAACTACATAAATATAATTTTTTTATGTAGTTGCTTTCATTTATATCTAGTAATTAACCTTAAGCTTAAACAAAGGGGATCTAAAATACCAGTAGTCTTTTGTCGCAGCTCTACGTGTCCATCCTGCCTTACTTATTAGGGTTTAAACTCTCATTTAAGCACTTCCTGTTTATTAATAAGCTCATTTTTGCTTGTTTGTCACAATTTGATTATGTAGCAACTGTTTTTGTATTGAACAGACTGCTGATGGAGAGCTTGTCAGACATTACAGATCAGTGTGCTGGGATAAGTAAGCATCCTGTGGGTTTGATGACCTGCTTCCGTAATCGTCCGCTGCATCTTTAGTCTGTTTATTGCTATTTTATTGACCACAGTTTTAAAGCAACCAGAGACTTGAAACCACAGATGTGCATGTCCACTACACAACAGGACTAAAAACCTTGAAGCACGTCCAACATAAATGCAAATAGTTTCTTGCACCAAATAGTATTATATGTTTATCAGTACACACCAGCGAAAGGTCACAGATTAAAAGAAATGAATATGCAAACTGTAATTTTTTTGTTTTGTCTTCAGTATGAAGGATTGGTAAATGAAGTATTATTTTTTTGTAACTAATGTAAAAAAAAAACAAGCAAAACAAACATTTTATAGAATTGTACAGTTTTTTTTTCTGCTTTTGAGGATTTAGAAGATTTTTTTTCCCCTTGCAGAAAAAAGGGGGTAAGCCATCTATCGTGTAGTGTTCAGATTATTGTGGTCCTTCTGTATTCTCAAATGAAGATATGTATGAATATATATGAAGGTGACACTCATACTCCAGCTTGGGTTAAGATAAGTTTTTTTTTAATTGACAGGATTAAGTGCAAACTCGCCTTCATATCCAGTGTTCTCTGTTCTTAATCTTATGCCTAATTGTGTTGGTTTGTTTTTGTCTGGTTCTGATCTACCGTGTACAACTAATGTCCATTTAGCTGTTTTTTTTAAACTGACATTGATTTATGAAGTAATTCTGACTTGTTGAGGTCTTTTTAAAAGTCTTTCAACCAGAAAATTTTGAGTGAGCATTTATTACTTTTCACATGAAGAAGACCCTGGAGTTTGTGACAAAGCCACAAAAACATTAGTGAGAATAATAGTTATAAAATAAATAAGAGGTAAGAAAATAAAAACAACCACATTTTCGTCCTCTGGTTTTGTTTGCCTTCAGTGTCTGGAGCAGCTGTGCATGTCTTGCTGCTTTGTTTTTGACTAAAAATGCATTTATTTTAAAAAAGTAATAAAGTAATTTTTATTTAAATCTGTTGGCTTCGACTTTGATCTGTTTTCTTCAGATAATGAGTAAGTTCCCCATTTATGGATTATTTTTTCTCATCCAACTGAAGGGTTGTTAATGTATGTCCTTTCAAAAAAGCCAAAGAGGGGCATAGTTACTGTTTACAATCTGTGAACCCGCGGGGTTACGGAACCTTCAGCAGCTAACACTGCAGCGTCGGTATGCTGGCCTGCTAAATGTGGCAGTGTTTTGTAAATCCTAAGCCAGGAAACCGTAGCAACCCAGAAGTTCTTCCTTGTACTCCGAAGCCACGGCAACCTTTTGTTTTACTCCAATATGGGGTGAAGGCTATAGGCTAACAATGAGCTAGCAATGCTAACTGTGAAATAGAAGCAAATATTGAGCTACTTTTTCAATCATCAACAACTCAGTATTACAGTGTAATGTATTTATCTACTTGTCAATTTACTGCAGGTGACTCATCACTTGCCATCTGCACTCTGGTGCTGATCCATAGCAACAGCCATGAAACTCGTGGAACAGTAATGAGAAAGTCATTTGTTTTGAAAATAGATGGCAGTACCCAACTTTGACCACAAGATGTCCGTCTTACTTTAGTCTTATGCTTCTGTCATCCTGGTATCAAAGAGTTTGCTTATATGTAGAAATAACAATATGGGTATTTTATTGCACAAAACTTTGCATAATCATGAAAAACAGGTTACTATTCTATTCTTTTTCTAGAAACTCCTTCATTCTTTGCAGGTGTGATGGCCACATCCATGATCACACAACGGTGAACGTTAGTACACTCTTGCACTTTTATGATTGCAGTTTGTATGTTTATATTTCTTCTTCAACAATGTTTTGCTCTGTATTTTTCTTCTTTTGCAGTTGATTAGTTTCTGGGCAACATGCTTTACTAGTTTGTTGCTTATTTTATACCAGAATATTGCCCTTTACCAAAATATTTTTAGGTTGTTGTGATACAATATTGCATCTGATCTCACCCTCTCACGTTGCACTAGTGCTGCTCCATACCACCACACTCCCACCACCGTGTTTCACTCTCAAATCAAAGCCTTCACTGCAGCGGTTTATACTTGGTCAAAGCAGATGTAAACAGATTTGACCTCAATCTCATTTACGAATAATCAATAGTTATTTTAATTTGCAAAAGAAAATGTATAGATTTGTGCTTTGTGTTTGTTTTTAGATGCATGGATGTCCTCACTCTGCAGACTAGATGTGCAAAACTAGATGTGCAACACTTGCAGTGTGTGGAGGCATCAAACGAAGCCCACTGGTTGGAGGGACTATAAGTAGTTTCATCGCTGCTGGACAGCAGCTGCTCATTTCTGAATTGTTCTCATACTTTCTGTAACTCATTTAATCTATTTTTAATTGCATTTTTCATGAGCTATTAATACTAATATAACCATTAAGTACTGAAGCTTAACTATTTGCTATTCATGTAAAACAAGCCATTATTAGTCCTTGTGTGTTTTAGCACTGCTTAACTCTGTCTGTTCTGCGTGGGTGGGTTGATTTCACCATTAGCGTGGAGTGGGTTTAATTGCCATCAATGTAGTGAGGGTAAATAAGCATCAGATGTGGAGAAAAATATATTTGTTATTTTGCATCAATCTACACCATTGTAAGTTTTTAATTACAAAATATATTAAAATACCATCTTTCAGTTTTTTTAAAACACAGAAAAGGTTTAATTACCTGCCTGCCCATAATTAAACCTTTTCTGTGTTTTAAAAAGAACTGAAAGATGGAATTTTAAACTAAACACAGCAAGAACACACCAAAGATATGTTAAAATAGTTTCATTATTTTTGCAGAGAAGGATGCTTTCTAAGTAAAAAAAAACAATGAGAAACCATAAAAGGTGTAACATTTGTTTGTAATCAAACTGTATACTAAAGGTATGATCAATCATTTTGTTCATGTGCACAAACTACATGTCCCCAGTAGAGGACAGTAGTCTACCATGTGTGTTTTCCTCCACCATGACACTGTGCTGCATTCTAAACTCGACAGAAATCAGAAGGATTCAAGTCCTAGCAGGAAATAAGTGTCACCTTGCAAGCAGCTGGGAGAAGAAGGTCTTAGACGCAGTGATGAACAGGCAACTTCTAAAACCACCTGGTGTCCACGGTGATGCTAGAAAAGGCAGCATTGGCAAAACGGAGAGATATTTTGTCAGTTGTCATTCTTAAAAGATGTTTTCTTTCTTTCTTTTTGACTACTTGGAAGTGTTTTTCTGTGTAAAGTGTGTGATGATTTTACCCTTTGTAGAAGCCTTTCTGAACTACCTTGGTTTGGAGAAACTGTCCTGCAGGATTGATGAGCTAACAGCTAGTACATGAAATGTAGAGGAATGTATTTGCCTAAAGACAGAAGCAAAATACTTGTGTTTGGACCACCTGTTAGGTCATTTATCTTCATTTCTCTCAAAGGACAATGATCAGGAAGCCACTAACTATGGAGAGAAAAAATCTACGCAGAAACATTAAAAAATTTCCCTTTCGTCCGTCTTTTTCTACAGTTCTTTGTATTCTGCAGTTAAGAGAAGATGAGAAGTGAGCAATGACAAAGAATAACAAGATCTCTTGCAGTTGGATCGTATTGCTCTCGCAGTTTAAAGGAAGACATCTCAACGATGAGTCCACCCACCAACCTGAAATCCCTGAGACCTCTGGGGAGGACGCTGGGTGGGTAAAAGCCTTGCTGTAGGAGAAGATAATGGGAGGGTGGGGTTTATAGCAGATCATGAACAACTCATTTGTGCAGCACCTGCATAGATCAGTTGGAAGAAAAGCGCTGCTGGGTTCTCATGAGGTTCACAGACTGTTAATGTCACTCTTAACCCTTTGGTGCATAATGGTCACTACAGTGGACAGGTACTCAAAATTGTTATTTATTTGTTTTTGCTACTAAGCACAGCTGTTGAAGATTTTCTTGCATTTGAGCCCCTCCGTTTGGACTTCAGTAAGCCAAGCCAACATATTTCATGCTCAGAATGCACGCTGTCCACTGAGGTGGACATGTAATAAATTATTTGTAAATCATAAAATTTTACAAAAAATATTTGTTGAAATTTGTTTCATTCACACCTAAAGATGAATGAAAAAATTGTTTAAAAAATCATGGTTGAAGATTTCATAATTCATGCATCAGAGGGTTAATGTCATGCAGCTCTCTGTCTGGGAAAGTGTTTCTGACATTTACCTCCTCTCCGGCTTGCTGTGAAACGGGAGATAGCATCAGCTTTCACAGAGGATCTTCTGATAAACTGTTCAAATCCTCTCTTGACTCATTCTAGAGCAGTTTGTCTCAATCCTCTGGATCTGTCACTGACTCTGAAGAAGTCAGAGATGAAAAGTTTTGAGGAAAAGACAGAAAATTGTCTTTTTTTTTACTGTGAGCTAAACCAGTGTTAAGTTATTAAGCATTAGGGATGGAGGTGGGGTGTTAGTTTAATAAAATCCAAATAAAGCCCTAATTTTAAATAAATATAGACAGAATTGGTGATGAGTTCAAGTCGGCCCACTATTAAAAAAAAGAGTTGGAGTGAGATTTTCTTTATTTTAATTGACATTTCTATGTGTGTGTGTGTGTGTGTGTGTGTGTGTGTGTGTGTGTGTGTGTGTGTGTGTGTGTGTGTGTGTGTGTGTGTGTGTGGTGGGGAGTAGTAGCTTCCTGACCCATGATAGGCAAAATCACACAGGAGAACACAGGTATTTTATTTAAAGTGGGAGTCAAGGCATGGGTGGAGACTTATCTCATCCACACTTCCTATTCAGCACATTCTCACTCCCAGCGCGTCAAAAACAAACGCCAAAAGTGCCCTTTCATCACTTAAACCCTTTTCAGATAGACATTCTGGAATATGTGTGGACAATTCAGTCCGGTTTTTAACCAGAACTGTGTTTTCAGACACACCACTTTTATACCGGAACTTGTCCTTTCGGCTGCCTTCACACAGCAGGGCAAAGTTCCAGATGTCTGGGGGGGGGGGGGGGGGGGGGGGGGGGGATTGGACTTATGTTAAGCATAATTCTGCGTACACGAAGACGCACGAGAGACCTGGGTGATGAAGCTCAATGGTTAAAGGAATCACGGAAGCGGTGTGAAGCGCTCCGTCGTGCGTCTAGATGGTACCGTAGGAGGCGAGCTGCCATGGTTTGCCGCATGCTACAGCAGCGGGCTATCTAGGTGCGCACAGCGTCCCCCGGTCCCCTCCTCCCTGTCCGGAACTCGACCTCACCAGTCTGAGTTTCTGGCTACGCTAATGGTGACTTTTGACAGACTTCTCTGAGCTCCGCAGCCATTACATTTTTCACCTCGCGCACCCCCAGGGGTGCGCGCACCACACTTAGGGAATCCCTGCTCTAGATGGTATTCTTTGTTTTCCATCAAGATTTACAGACAAAACATGAAGGAGTAAAATATACATATACAAAAAAGAGGGAATGGAGAAGGGGAAGAAAGGATGAAGGGTAGTAAAGAAAGGAAGAAAAAACAGAAAGACAGTTAAAGGTTCATTACTGTTGTTTTCTGATGCACATTACTGCTAGCTTCACAAATGTATCCCTGTTGTTAACTAAATGTTTATTGTTAAATAGATAATTTGTTTTGAAATACACTCTAGTCAAGGTCGTGGTTCAGTTTATGGTGGTTTGGCGTCATCATGTGGACAATTAATGACATAGCGGTTATTTTATTATTATTTGTTGTTTTATTTTGCAGTTTACTTGCAAAATCTAAACAATTAAGAGGTAAGAAATTCTTTATTCACAGTTCACCTACTTTATAAGTCTTAATGCATTTTTCTGTGTGTGTGTGTGTGTGTTTTATTTAGAAATTAACCTTATATCTGACTCCTAAAACAAATTTATCCTTGCAAAAAACCTACAATTCCAGAAATCATCAACAGTAATAAAACAACCCAGTGTGACTTATCTGGAGAGTGTAGACGACAAAAATGAGACAATTCTGAAGAAATACAAACC